GCAGATCGCTGCAAACAACTTGTGAGTACGATGTTGACACTACTGATAAAAAATGCAAATAAAACCCAACATGTAATGAAACTAATTTGACCTTCCAAACGGATTTTTATTTTTATTTCTTTACACGTAAACGTTCGGCACCTTTTCCTCCCGATTCTTTACAGCCGCACAACAGTTCATTTTGAATTTCTGGAAACGAGTCCTCTGCGACACACAACATTAGAAAAAATCACCCTTCCAGCTAACATGAGCAGTCACACTGATATTGAATTTAAGCAGGATGTCTCAAAAAATGACAGGGAAGGTGATGGTGAGGACACTGCAAAGTGTTTCACAAGGATATGAGCACATTTTTTTTTGCTCTGAACAGTTATAGTACCTCGGAATAAATCTCATTTGGGTGTAAAAGTTCCAATAACTGTAGCTGCTCTTTGTCAATGAAGCAGCTCCAGGCGGTAAATCCCAATGACATCACACAATATAATCTCATTCTCCGGCTTTGAGCTTTAGAGTTGTTCGTACTCACTCTTGATTGAAACCCTCAGGGCCGTGTGAGGGAATATATGGCTTTTGAGATTAAGTGGTACTTCTTTTAAAAAATAATAGCTACTCAAAGAGAAAGATTTAAAAAGGGATCTTCTTGACGTGACCTTCGCCAGTAATTTTTATATGAGGGCCTTTGTCAAGCTTGTGTGTGTGTATCAAAGCAATGTGAAAATGACTTTGTCTTCCCTGCATAACATTTTTTTTAAACTATGCATTTTGTAGTGGAGATCTAGCTGTGTTGCTTGATTTCTCTATGGTGTGAGATGTGTGCTTGATGTGTGTGTGTACCTTCAGTTGAGTGCGTGTGAGCTCCAGGCTGCGCAATCTGTGTTTACAGCTTTGAAGCTCAGTCTGGAGCTGCTCGGACCGTGCAGCTCGCTCTCGGGCACAGTCCAGCTCATCCCGCAGTGCACGCATGCCCCTCACATCACCCTGCAGAGAACGGTTCTGCATGCGCGCAGACACACACACACACACACACACACCCGGAGACACAGATACATTCATACACCAGCTGGGATGAGGTCAAAGAAGGTTGTGAACAGATCTGGAATGCAGTAAAGCAAATGTTGACAAAGTCTGATACATGAGGAAGGAAATGTGTGCGTGTATACAATCCTGAAATGTACTCACAAGGATAGAAAAAAATTGAAAAGAACCATATGGAAAAGAGCAAGAGCTTTAACTTGCATGTATTATAGTTTCAAATAACATTTGCATGTCTTCTGCTATTATTTACAATGAAAGTGGTCGAATTAACTGTGAATCGCGAAAGCAATATGCTGTGTGAAATCAATGCAGAAAAGGTCATGTGTAGAAATAACTGGAGTGCAATAAGTCTCTTGATACTTATATAATTCAAAAGTTGAATAACTGATTTATATTTGGGCATTTTTTACACACAGCATGTAACTTCATTTAAATTACTGGAGAAATTACTCACATACTTATATTTAAGATACCCCTAATGTCCACTGTCATTATTTAAACATCATTCTAAGGTACTATTCAGAAGGACTGGCAAGAGGTAGCCAGTTACCCATCTGTAAAACAGACGTTATTCCCACATACACATTAATCATTTAACAGTAAAATCACCTATTTAAATTGTAATTATCTTGAGCATTATCAACAACGCTTATGGCAAGGTGCTGCAGTGCTTAGCACTGTCACCTCACAGCAAGAAGCTTCCTGCTTTGAATTCACCAGCAGGCAGGAGCACTTTCTGTGTGGACTTTGCATGTTTTCCATGTG